GCCTTCTCGAGAGAGGTTAGTGATATTCAGATAGTTTGCTTTTTCCTTTTTTTATTTTCGTACTCGCTTGTCGTCATTTCGCAGTTTTATGGATGTTTTTTTTTCTCCTCTGAGGCTGCGCTCATACTTTGCATCAGCGTTTTGTTCGATTAGGCAAGTGTAGCTATCGATCCAGCTTGAGCGTACGCCGGCGTCTTGAGCGTTACCACGGGTAGTTTTGAGCTTTTTTGAGCAGTCGCTTGAGACAATGCCATACGCTCAAAACGCTGACGTGAAGTATGAAGGCGGCTTGATGTGGTTGGGGGAGACAGGTCATGCCGCGACTGGAGCTACTCGTGTGCGCTTTTCGGATGTAGTAACCTTTTCCATCACTCATGTTCAGTTTTGGAAGAGCCCAGACGACTGATGCTGCAGCGTGCCTTTTCAACCACATTAACGCCCGCTTCGATGGCTTTGCAACATCATACCTTTCCTAATCTGCGATAAAGTAACCCCACTGCGCAGTCAGCTGTGTGAGTCACCATGATTCGTAATGCACGCGCTAATTGATCGATGCATGGGTGGCAGATCACGCATGAAGATCTGGGCCATGTTAACCTCCCAGGGGAGTTTTGCGTACTTCTGGGTGTGAATGAAGTAAATCGCAGAAGACCCTAGCACGTCAAATGCAGTGCGGAAAGGATGCACTTTGTATTTACACTGGTACTTGTGACGAATGACGCTCAAAGGCTGTTCTAAGCATCACGAAGTGTTTATCGTTTGTTGCGATTCGACGAGGTGGAGGTTCTTCGCGATGACTCTACGTCCAGGCTCTACGTGCAGCCCTTGATATGTATATTACCCCGCTTTTTGGAGTGAAAAGGCATCCATGTATAGGGCGCTCTTTCGCTTCGAGCGCCGTTGCTTGCCTTTACCCTATTTATCTGTATTCAATGGAAGGTATATGATAACCAGCCGTGCAAAAAACAAGAAAACTGTCGCTGTGTCTACCAGTTTTTCGTGCCATCACTATTCAAGTTAATTTTTGGGGTGGGTGTGTGGCCGTTCAAGTGGGAGCGCCGGTTAGAGTGTGCTTTCTTGTTACTCGTTCCTTTCGTGGAATGCCTTCTATTCAGCTAATAATGAGCAGAGATAGCAGAGGAGATACTAGCGTATCAGTTTCACTGTTAGATTTCTTTGCGCAGTTGGCTTGGTGAGGGCATTCCTGGTTTCCATCAGTCACTACCGATCCCTGATGTGAAGACCTGTGAATTCCTGTAAAGCTATGCAGAAGCAAAATTCTTCTGCATTTGACGAAAGTTCACAGGCACCCCTCCCCAGGTAAGGCGTGTAACCTAACAAGGCCTAGCGAAAGTACAAAATTCGCCTCCCCCGCTGAGCCGTTCAGTGAAATTTCTGCTTTTTTACTTTTTATTTCCGACCTGTTGACGACAGAAGCTTTCAGTTGGCGAATTCCGAGCCAGGGAAGACTTAATTCGGCAGCTCGAGACATGTGTACGTGAAAGAAATGAGGTGATCGACAAATTGGAAACGAATTTGAAAGTCGCCCCCTGAGATGCTGCATGACACACGTCGGCTGTTTAATCAAGCTGCGTATTCTATCGCTTTTTCATATTGAAAAAGAACAATTATAAAAATGATTATAAATTGAATTAGAGACTTGAGCAAATTTTTTCCCAGTGATTGGTATTCTGCAAGAGTTCTTGTGAAGCGTCGATCATATTTCATGAGCGGTATGAGAGCGCGAAACTTTTTCATGGAAAAGCACTTTTGTACCTGGTTGAGGGTCGGCAGCGTGTAATTTTTCGTATATAAGACAGTGAAAAGTGAAGGACATATGATGTTTTTCGCTCTTTGTTTCTTTCCTTCCAGAGTTCTGCTTTCTACGCTTCTCTCAACATGTCAAAATGACGTTCCTGACTTAAAAACTAACTTGTGTTGCGACAAAAAATATAGCCTTAGTATCCACAGGGCAATATCCCTCCTAAAGTGCTATTCGCCGCCAGTCCAAGTTGAATACGCGGCCACGTCGTTTTCATCTCCGTCATATGGAGTGTAGATTCCTATCAGTCCCTGCAACGCTTTCATCGTCACAATGGGACTGGAGTAATAAGGTTATTCGAACCGCTTCTGTTTTTTCCGTCTTCTAAACTCTCGTGTAAAAAACTTTCCAGGCAGAGTAGTTCGAATAACAATAGACTCTTTGTCATTCATCTCAGTAGCAGATCTGCAACATTGTGATGATCCATATTTTAGAGTCTATGTGTACTCTTTTTTGTGTGTTTTCCCAGGCGATCGGCCAGGCCTCTATTGATCGTTAGAACTCTAAGTAGGCATTTGATTGAACGCGACTAGTTTAAGAGGTTTTTGTTTCGGAATCTCCTCTCATTACTGCAGACTTTTAGGCTACAATTACTCTACTTGTCTGTTTCTCGGCTGATGCACTGCAAGAGTTTTTAGAGTCGTAACTTTTGCATGGTGAATCGCTTATCAAGTTTCCAACGGCACTCTGACTGTACACTATCTCTTATCTCTTGGCAATAGCTTTTCCAAACAAAAACATTTTTTTGTACTACATAACACCAGCACTAGACCTCAATAGTTTCCCAGGCCGGATTACATCTTTTGCTGGTAGAACTGTCTTTATTTTGCCCCCGCCCCTCTTCCCTTTCCGGCTTCACATCCTCATTGTTCCTCTTGACTTATGGTAGTAGTGTTTCATTTCTGAACAGACGTGTCTCTTTTCGTAGTGAACTACTGGTTCTGACTATATGAGAGGGTCCAACCTTGTTGTTGATTAATCTGATCGAAGGGCGCGACGTATTCAGGCCTTTTTTCGATTCCTACGAGTTCAAAAAAGCACGACCGGTCCACCAATTAATGATGAAGCGCTCCGGTCGTGCTCGTGGTTACGTCATGGTGAGCAAGTTGTTATTCCGGGGAAGCACAAAACTGAGTTGTCTGGGTCAAGGGTTAAGTCCTTCAGTTTTCTCCGATTATCGACTTTAGCGCCAACACTGTCCACCAGACATTGCAGTGATGAGAGAACACATTCTTCGTAGACAAATCAATCACCCGTTCGTGGCAAGGTCACATGAAGGGTCGCGTTATCATTTGCAATCAGCTGTTGTTGCAGCTTTTTGTTTCTCCTCCTCTGGACTTTCCTTTGTTTTGACTCTTTCGTGATTGTGATTGATACCAGAAGGTGACTCGAAGCAAAAAAGAACGGGAACAAGAATCATCAAGAGCAAAAAGAAGGGAGAAAGAGAAAAGGGTCATCTACTTCTCTCTGTTCTTCTTCAGTCCTTAGAGGTCCACATAGGTCTTCCATCATGACACCTCTGGACTACCTTCGCTCCTATTTCCTTCCAGGAAAAGTAAACAGTCGAGCCTGGCCTATAGACAGCGATTTGGTCGCGTAAAATGCATCAATTTTTTTGTTATTTGGTACTCACTCCTGTTATATCCTTCCTTCATTTTTCCTGTACAATTCCTTCTCATCTTTATTGCATGAATTTTGCATGTCAACTTTTTTACATTTTTTTTTCGTTTTATCCTATTAACTCCTTCCCCTATGTAGTCCATGTCCATGTCGTCAACCCTGTCGCACTGAAGAGCCCGGGGGTTGGTAAGACATCGATGATTCGTCTGCGATAACGGGCGAAACGGATCATCTGTGCTTTGGAGTGTATTCCTTTCCCCAATGTTTGTTTTTCTTTGTTTTATTTCTGGTGTCAGCGTACCCTTGTATATACCATTTTCACTTTAAATTCACCCTTTTTCAAACCAAATTCACCCCTTTTCAAACCAAATTCACCCTCACTTTTCGCATCAAATTAACCACACTTATTAGGGCACGCCAGACATCACTGCGAGCCCCGCCCCGACGGCCACGCCCACTTGTCAGCGCGGACATAGATTCTCAAATCTTGTTTCATAACTTCTGCTTTTGCTGTTTCCCACAAACACTTTGACTGGAAACCACCGGGCATTGACACATGGCCGACTTGCCCGGGTTGCCCGCCCGCCGAACCCGGGGCGCCCATAGTCCCTAAAGGGTTTTTGGCAAGCCAGGGTAGACCGAGAGACGCCCACTTGCTTTTCGCGGACTTTCGATTTTTTTCAAAATTTTTGCATTTTAGGGCTGCTGCGTGAAGGCCCCGCCCACTGTGAGAGCTCCGCCCACTTTGAATAAGCCCCGCCCTTTTTTCAAAAAATCGGTGCAAAGTCGGCATGCTATAGGAGAATGGCTTGCATGCTAGGGTCTCGTTCGTCACTCGGAACAAGAAAATCCGGCAAAGTTTATTCCGAATGATCAGCAATACCCTAGCATGCAAGCCAAGGCTCTATACTGCCGATCTGCACCATTTTTGAAAAGTGGGCGGGGCTTCTTCAAAGTGGGCGGAGCCTCTCACAGTGGGCGGGGCTTCACGCAGCAGCCCTAAAATGCAAAAATTTTGAAAAAATATCGAAAGTCCGCGAAAAGCAAGTGGGCGTGGTCAGCCTAGATGCCAAACCCTTTAGAGAATGGGCGGAGTCGGCCATGTGTCAGCGGTCGTTTCCAGTCAAAGTGTTTGTGGGAAACAGCAAAAGCAGAAGTTATGAAACAAGATTTGAGAATCTATGTCCGCGCTGACAAGTGGGCGTGGCCGTCGGGGCGGGGCTCGCAGTGATGTCTGGCGTGATCTGGTTGATGAGTTGCCCGCCCTAATAAGTGTGGTTAATTCGATGTGAAAAGTGAGGGTGAATTTGATTATGAATAAAGGCTTGAATTTAGTGAATTTTTGAAAAAGGTGAATTTAGTTTAAAAAGGTGAATTTAAGTGAAATGATACATAGCGTTTTTACGTACTTCTTGAGCCTGCATATTCAACCTCCTCACTCATGAGGCTGCTGCGCCGCTCACTGTTGTGGATCAATATGCCCAGTTCCATCAGAGCTTTTTCCTTTCCGTTGGACACTCTGCTTAGCCTCTTTAGTTTTATCTGCGTGAGCTATGCCTTCGCCCTAGGAGCGTAACAGCCAAGTTCAAATTAGCGATGATGCTTCTCATATTTGTGCCGATAAACATTGTGAGAGGACACAGTACGGCGGCAACGGGCGCCTTAGCTTTGGCGGACCATTTTGCGTCCACAGACTCCAGGCCACCGGTTAATAGAAAATCCAGATCGGGGGGGGGGGGTCGTACATGGCGGGTCGAGTGAGAGTAGGATTTGCACGTGAGCTTGAGAGGCTTTTCCTGTGCCGCAGTACATGACCCCCCCCCGTAGTTGGGGGCACGGCGTCGTGAAACCACCATGTAACACATACTGTCCATTGGAGAAAACCTCCCCGCCACTTTTTCGATTGAAAACCTTGGAATTTTGAAATAATAGTAAGGAAGATGCAAGAATTTGATTTTATAAGTTGGCAGGTTGCTGGGAACACAGGCAAGGGTTCGTTGGCAGGTTGCTGGGAACATAGGAAAGGGGTCGTATTGAAGGGGGCGGACCTCACTGGCAGAGGAAAATTTGTCAGTGGCCGTATGGAGACCGCTGCTTTACCCGCCTTTCTGTCCCTTCTCCTAATCAAGGCCCTCAGGCCCACCATTAGCCTTGAAAACGCTGACCACCATAGTCGCCGCTTGTCCCTTCTCCCACTTTCCTCCCCATTCCCCACTCAAGCTCATGGGAGCAGCTTCAATGCGCAAATATAATGGTAGACAAGAAGAAAAAATGCGCAGAGTCCTTTTACCGCGCCTTGGTCATCCATTGAACCTGGCATGCATGGTCATGGACAAGCGTGAACAAGGGACGGGCAAGGCAGGATCGAGGGACAAGATCGAGGGATCTCCACCCTTTTTTCTTTCTGGCCATCTTACTCGCGCTGAAGCCGCTCCGTGTGAGTGTAACTGTAAGAACTAGTTAAACCCTCGTTAGACGATTTTTCTGACCAGTGTTTTTCGTTTTTTGAGTCAAACGTTTGCATTTTTACTTCCTTTTGTTTCTCGGAAGGTGAATTGCACTTGCGTAATGACTATGTTCCGTTACAGGCGAACAATAAAATCCATTCTGTACGAGAATCGGAAGCGCATCCAGTGAATAGCGAAGTGGTCATACGCCTTGCTCATCAAATAAGCAAAAACTATTCGGTGTCGGCTCCACTATATTGGCAGCAAGGTTAGTGTCTCATACTTAGCAGGTAAAATTGCAAGTAGGCTAAATTTTTGTGTTCATTCTTGCTGGGCGTATTTCGCTGCCTTACATCGATTAGTGCCTCCCATGGAGACCTGAAATCTTGTAAAGCTGCACAGCAGCATTATCTTTGTTCGCTTTAGACGAACGTTCGCGGTTCTTACCGAGGTGAGACGTGTGATTTAACAGGAACAAAGAGTGAAATGTCCCCCCCCCTGCACCTCCTCCTGTGTCGAACAGTGCCAGTTT